TGTGTGTGTGTGTGTGTGTGTGTGTGTGTGTAGTTAGTTCATTGACTGGAGCTCGTGAACACATACAGAAGCAAGAAGACAACCTCAGGTGCTATTTATGTTGCTTTTTGAGACAGGGTCTCTCATTGAACAGAAATCCATTTATTAGAATGCTAAACTATTTCTGCCCCAAGGACTGGGATCACAAACATACCCATGACCAGCTGTCTTAATGTGGATTCTGGGGACTGAACTCAGGTCATCATGCTTATATGACAAGCACTTTACCATCCTGGTCATCTCCCCAGTCTTTACTAAATTTAATCTGTGTGTTTGTGTGCACGCATGCATGCGTTTGTGTGCATGTGTAGAAGCACTCATATGTGCTTGGCATGTGTACAATCAGGTGAAACCTTCTGCAGTCACTTCCTTCTCCATGTAGTTTCTGGGAATGGAGCTCAGGTTAGCAGCAGAATGGCAGCAAGTGTCTTTCCCTACCCAGCATCCTCACTGGCCTAAAGTCTAATTTTAAACCACTCTCGTGTATCCAGCTTCTTTTCCCCTCTGGATAATTTATTCTTGCTGAGTATAAGAGTCCATCTATCTCACAGCTGCATAGTATTCCACTACACTAATACGGCAGAGAAGATTACCATCCTGCTGTAGATGGTTACCTTACTTGCACACATAACAAGGCTGCAGAGATCTACCTCTGCATCTTTTGGTATGGGTAGACTCATGACTGGGCATATACTTGAAGTCAGACGTCCTGGAGGAGTGGAGGCTCATGTCTGAAATGCTAACACTGCAGGAGGACTGCCAGGACTCTGAGGCTAGACGGGGCTGCAAGCTCAGTTCCAAGCCAGCCCAAATTAGAGTGAAAACCTGCCTCAACAAAAGTGTAACTACTTAGATTTGGTGGACAATGCCAAACACTTGGCTAGTCTGTCACTTCCTGTTCTCACCCCCACTGGTGTTAATCAGAATGGTGAGCTCTGTGCTGGATGTGTGACAGAGTTTGATCTGGTATTCCCGATGAGGCTGACGGCTGCACTCTACACCCGTCCATGACGAGTGGCTGTGTCTGCTTACTGCCTTGTGCCATGTTCTAGCTCCAGCCTCTATTTTATTTTTTCCATGTCAATTTGTAATTCTTATGTATTCATAAAATCAAAATCTTAAATACATAAACTTTAAAAAAGATTTTATGTGGAAGTGTGAGTACCCGAGTATGAGAATAAATGCAGGAGCCCCTGGAGGTCAGCAGAGGGCACCTCACTCTGTAGCCCTAGATTCCCTGGAACTAGTGTTACGGGTGGGTGTGAGCTATGCTGAGAACTGAATCTTCGTCTTGGGGAAGAGCAGTAAATGCCCTAAACCACCGGGCTATCCCTTCAGCCCCCTTGACTTTTTCTCTATTTCTTTTGTGTATGTGTACACGCTTGCACACATGTGCCACAGTACGCATGTGATGTGGAAGGATGACTTGTGGGACCTCCTTCCTTCACGTAGGCTCTGAGGATAGAACTTGGGTTGTCAACCTTAGCAGGAAGTACCTTTATCCACTTGGGCATCCTGTCAGCCCCATATACTACAAAATCTTCTCTGCTTTTCCATGAGAAAGAGAATTTTACTATCATCTAATTTGTCTTTTTCCTTGATTTTCCTGATTTTCTTGTGTGCTTGTGAATAAAAACCAAACAAAACAAAACCTGTCTAGCCAAGGTCATACAGGTATTAACTAATTTAATTTTTGTATTCATTTGTTTTGAGAGTGTCATATGCTACGGTGACAGTCATAGGATAACTTTTAGGACTCAGTATTCTCCTGCTATTATGTGAGTCTCAGAGATGAAACTCAGGTCACTAGACTTGGCAACAAGTAACTTAACCCAGTGAGCCACCTCACTGGACCATACTGTAAGAATCCACTATGATTTCTTTTGTTGAGCCAGATTAATGTTGATATTGACACCCAACACTGCCTCAATACACACACATACACCCCTGCTTTTCGTACCTGTGACAAACACTCTACCTCTGAAACTACATCCCCAGCCTAACCATAAGCCATTCTGAGGAGCACTCAAGTCCCACTGTAGTCAGGAAACAGTATTCTCAGGCTGGAGTCGGGGCTCATAGAAAGCATATGCTCATAGAAGTGTTCAAGGCCCTGGATTTAATCCCCAGAACCAAACAGCAAAGCTTGATATTCCCAGTGAATTTAACTCTGAAACTAGGTAAGGGCTGCTGTATGAACAAGCACACAGGCTGCTGTAGTGCATGATTCATGTGCACATGGAAAGAATATTCCATTCTTGCTGAGTGCTTTACACATATGTCAACATTTAGTCAACTGTTAAATCACGTGTTCCAGGCTATCTTAGCCTGGGCACGGTGATTTACGCCTTTAATTCCAGCCACCAGAAGGCAGAGGCAGAGAGTTTTCTGTGAATAGAGTCAACTGGGTATATATTCAGCAAGTTTCAGGGCAGCCAGGGCTCCATAGTGGTAAAAAAACATATAAACAAAAATAATAAAATTTGAAACACCCTCTTTCCTGATTATTTTTTGTGCTTTGTCTAGAATGTATTCTGTAGAAAGATTTTTCTAGAGCCATGTTTTCAATACTGGGAAGGTAACGGGTCTCATATTTAATCACCCAAGTTGCTCCTAGGGAATGGGAGGAAAATGTAAAGGTTGTTGTCATTGAACGCATGATTAATTAATTAATCCCTCTCGTATCCATGGGTTATTTGTCTCCCTTTTCATCTGTCAGATATTCTTTATTTTTTTTTTTGAATCTGTGCTATTAGATGGTTAGAATATATTCCTGACAGCAGACATCCTCACTGTGTGGCGGCACCCACAGCTGTCAGTCAGCACACTGTGCACTGCTGTCTGCGCAGGTTCAGAAGCTCTCAGTACATGTCTGAATGCTATACATTTCTCCACCCCTTCTTTCAGGGTTTCTGTCCTTATGTTTAAGCTGTGCGTCCCTGATAAGGAACGTGGAGTTGGGTTTCCCATGTTCTGACAAGTTCAGGCTCTCTTATCCAGTCTGCACCATCAATCACCTGCCAAACCCTGCATAATGTTTACTGTTTCCAATCCGTATCCTTTTGCACGGAACAAGAACTCTTTTGTGCTTGCCTTCTCCTCAGCTGTTTGTTATATAATGGTTTACTGATCACCTTTACTGCCGACCTACCTACGGTTACGCTCTCAAACAAAGCTGACTCAGAACACCTTCCATCTAGGATATGTATCTTTTTTTTTTTCTTTTACGTTTTTCGAGACAGGGTTTCTCTGTGTAGCCCTGGCTGTCCTGGAACTCACTCTGTAGACCAGGCTGGCCTCGAACTCAGAAATCCACCTGCCTCTGCCTCCCAAGTGCTGGGATTAAAGGCGTGCACCACCACTGCCCGGCTTTTAGGACATGTATCTTACTTCTGTGCCTCTAACCCCCAAGACACTGATGTCTTGTACTCTTTTCTATCCCCAATTCCTCTTTTCTGGCTTCTTTACTACTGCTCTATATTCGAGCGTGAGGCCACTCCAACTGTCTCACATCTCACTGCGATTAATCTAATGAGTTCTTAATTTATTATATTTTAGTTTCATAAATACTCTTCTTAAATTCCTGTTCTCCCAAGAATTCATCTTTTCACTTATTTTATCTAATATTTTGTTTTTCAAGACAAGGTTTCTCTGTGTAGCTCTAGCTGTCCTGGAATTTGCTCTGTAGATCAGGTTGGCCTTGAACTCAGAGATCCACCTGCCTCTGCCTCCCAAGTGCTGGGATTAAAGGTGTGTGCCACCACCACCTGGTGCCTTAGCCAGCCTCTTACTATTAAATATCTAAGTTGTTTCTTTAAATAACTAAAGGAAAATATATTTTCTTTAAAATCTGGACTTAAGGGCTGGAGAGATGGCTCAGCAGTTAAGAGCACTGACTGTGAGGGGAATTCCTCCTGCCTATATCCATATGGACTGTTGTAAAGGTATGACTGAACACTGAGGCACAGGCTCTCTTTATGTTTAATTGCAATGATGACCTATGTTGGTTTACACTGATTATTGATTTGGAGCCCTGCTCCAGTTTCCTGATGAAAGCTTGCGGCTTTAATGAAAACCGTCTCTGCAGCACTATTGCCGGGCGGTGTATGTGTGTGTGTGTGTGTGTGTGTGTGTGTGGTGTTAATACATACCGTATTCTAGTATCTAACAGTTCTTTAATCATTGCCACAACTTCGTCATCTTCCTCAGAACCTAGACAAAAAATCATAAGAAAACCAAGAGTAACAATTTTGAAGTTATATAAGCATTAAAACAGGAGGACTTTCACATGAAACCATAGTCAAGTATGATGGCACTCAAGTAGATACAGAAAGGTCACAGTTCAAGTGCTGCCTGCTCTATGTAGGAAGTTCCACACTAGATAGATTTAGCAAGACCTTGTTTCAAAATCCAAAACAAAGCAAAAGAAAAAAAAAACTGACCTCACAGCAATCCTTCAGCCTCTACCTCTCATGGGCTGAAAGGACAGGAAGGCACCTCCACTGTTGGGAGAGCCTTCCCCCATACATTGTATCGAAGGGCTTGTAGGTGTGTCCCTGTATTTAAAACTGTTGATTGCTGTGCCTGGGAGAGAGCTAGCTAAGGGTGGAATATTTGGTACTGTCCTCTCAACAGCCCATTAGTAGCTTTTTATGTGTAAATGCTTGTCCTGTCTCACCTGTCCAAAAGATGATTCTCTGAGATTATCATGTTAAAAAGCAAGCTGCCAATGAAGGAGCTCATGGAACCCGCATCTCTGCCAAAGGACAATCAAAGAAATGGGAAGGGGCTGTCCTGCTGCTGGTCAGTTCAGTCTGGAATGTGGCTTTCTGAAGCATATAGAGTTGGCAGCTGAGCTGGGGTGAGAGAGAAGGACCAGGGGAGAGGAGACATCACGGGGAACAAAGCTGGGAGGTGAGGAGCCCGAGCCACATGGCGGGATGCAGTGGCAGGAAGCCAGATTAAGTTACATTGTAACTTGGAGTCTGACCCAGCAAAAGGCCAACAGCCTTATACTATACAAATGTCTTTGTGTCTTTATTATTAAACCTCAAGCTGGTTCCCCCTAAAAACCAGGAATATACCACACACAGTTTTGTGTCCTTAATATTTCTTTTAAAAATGAGTCTAAAGCAACTATAGAAGAATTAACACTTTGTTTTTTGACACCTTTCTCCAGAAAAAGTTTGTGTCTGTTAAATCTAAGTGGAAGCAACTTTGTGCCTTATGTATGGTGTTTCTGAATTCTCAAGAGTTTTCATAATTAAAAATTTTAGTTTTGTATAATACATTCAATGTTCACAAATTTTAAAAATTGAGAAAACAGTATAGATGAAGTTCTATATGAAATTTTGCCTCATGTAGAATTGGTACCAGAGCCAAATACATTCAATGATAAAAGTAAACCCATTGCTCTTGGTTGTCCCCCAGAATTGGACGGCAAGCTCCTCCCGTGGAAGATAGACACTGAAGTCCCTTGCCTGCAGGCTAGCTCACAGCCAGAGAGGGTGCTGCGCAGGCAGCTGGGCGAGAACTGGGCCAACCCTTTCACTCAGCTGCACCGTGTGCCCCACTACTGACCAGGCTGGGAAAGCACTGCTCACTGCCTGCTGCGACAGTGGCAAGCCCCATGTGGGGTAATCGAGCTTTCTGATCGGAACTGAGGCCTGCTCCACTGGAGGGAAGTCATATCCGGTATTGTAACCTGGTCGAAAACCTGTGGCGGGGAGGTCATAGAGCCTTCTGGGGAAGCTACAACTGTTTTACTAAATAGACACGATGTGCTTGCCAGTTTCTTTTTAAATGACCATGTTTACACTCACAGACTAGTACTGCTATCTGGTCTGGTGCGAGCAGCTCTTCATGCAGTAAGTGGAGGTTACTGCAGAGACTCACAACAGGTCAAAGTGCAGGGACTAAGTGACTGCTGAATGCTCAGCCCTAAGTGGGACACCCTTACCAGCACGACTCTGAGACCATCATGGAGTGTTGGGGGAGGGGCAGAAAGAAGAGC